TTATATATACATATATATATGTACATATATACATGTATATATATAATTATATCATTCATAACAAGTCCACTTCTTTAAGATGCAACTTCTCATTCATACCAAACTTCATTATATGAGTTCCTGCTCGTTTCATCCTCTTTACTTTATCGTCTCGAAAGAAAGCGCATTCCTTTATAAAAATACTGTTCAAGGTATTATATTGTATGTTCTATTCTTATATCTGCTTTCTAATCTTCGGCCAAAAAAGAAATTTTCCTTTTCTTTAAAAGAAACTGTGCTTATCTTCTCAATTGAAGGTCGAGCATTACATATCATCTATGTATGTACATGCACGTAATGTAGGAATATTGAGATTTAGCTTAGTGATGTTCCTTTTGTTCAGTCATAACCCTTACAATGGGTTTTTTTGCAATTAATATAATAATATAATGAATTTAAGAAAGTATCTCTCCAAACGATTTGACATAGGCCTCGTGAAGTTTGTTGATGAAATCCGGATCGCTTTTCAACAAATAATTGAATGCTTGTAAAAGTTGATTCCTCGTTAGTGGCTCTAACGGTCGATTTAAGGATTCAGGTGGACTAGGAGCGGCAAACATCACAGGTGGTATCAATGCTGGTGCCGAACCTCTTCCTGACAATGTAGACGCTGCCGGGATAATATCGTCTGATGACTAAATCAGAAAGAAAGAAAAAAACAATGACTTTCGAATATACACATGCTTAATAAACACAAAGATAAAATTTTGTTTCTTACCGTACTTCCGGAAGCATGAGCGAATAATGACGCAAGTGGATTGGCATTATTGGTATTAGTAATGTTGGAAACTTGATGATTTCTTAAAGTAGAAGACGTTACGTTGGTTGGCGACTGTATCCTGAGGAATCCAGTCGACGCATTTGAATCGTTAACATTTTGAGTAACAGGTAGTGGCAGCAAATCTTGGGAAATCGGCGCTGATGTGGATATTATCGATTCCTGTTGCAAAGTTGCTTTACTTCGTTTTTTAGACTTGTTTGTGGATGGAATCGTTGTCGATTGTGATTGATGAGATGGTTGGGGTGTCACAGATCTCTGCTGTTTCTCAATATGTTCTAAAGTATGCGCTGCCGGATGAGACATTAAACGTGCAAGTAAAGGTTTACTTTCGACCACAACCGTACTTCCTGGAGTCGGTTGGTCGCCTGCTTTGAAATGTCCAGTATTCACCTGGTCGATACAAGTGATATAAGAGATAGAGAAATAATATGTCAAATAGAGCAGCAAAGAGATACAACGCTAACCTTGGCTTTAGCAAAGAAGTCCATTACACTTTGGGAAGTGACATCAGGTCCTAAGGGAGCAGCTAAAGGTCCAGAAATATTGTCGATCATGGGTGTAATCGATGGAGACTTTGATCCTACTATTGTGTTACCGCCATCGCCTTCGCCACCTCCGCCGCTACCTCTGCTCGTGTTAAAGTCCTCTTGTGCCTTGCTAAGCATGCTGAATATGTCCACGTTATTTACATTGGGTCCAGAGGTCTTTTTAGCTTTCAGTAACGGTTTGTTAGTGATTTTGCGATTTTCTTCACATTCTTTCAGAAGTTTATTTAACATATTTGCGATGCGTACACATTCTTCTTTTTCATAAAACCAAATACCATAGATGTTGCATCTAGAATTTCTATAGAGCAGAAATGGTTCCTGCAGTTGTAAATCTAAACCTGGAGCAACTGGTTCCACTAGATTGTTTGTATTCAATCTGTAACAAATATGTATATATATCATTTCTATATGACATTTTTAGTTATTATTAATATAATATAAGATGGATGTGCAAAAGATACTAAACTTGGATAAAAATAATTTACAAATCTCTCGAGTAAATCACTGGCGATGCAAAGTAAAACGTCACACTTATATTTTTCTAGCGGGTAGATATATAACACCTCGGTATATACTACCTGTTCATTATGAGAATACTGTTGTATGGCTCGCCATTCCTCGAGTACAAAAACAGAGCACCCTCGATGTCGGTCTTTTCCCATTCATTTTCATCCGCGTTAAATGTATACAGAGCGACGTGGGTCGCAGTTTCCAAAATATCCTTCACGTAGGGATCAACTCGTTTCAAAGCAGCCACGTTCATTCTCAGCTCGGTTCGATCCGTCATGCTTACAATATTAGTGACGACTATGATGATGATGATGATGATGATGATAAAGGTGATGATGATGATGATGATGATGATGATGATGATGATGATGATGATAATAATGATGATGATGATGATGATGATGATGATGACGATAATGATGATATCGATGACGACGATAATAATGATGATGATGATAATGATGATTGAAATCAGGCAATACGTGAGATTCGATAATTATAAGCAGCTTAGCGTTAGCGCAATGATTTCTCTATCTTTTCTCCACCGGCTAATCAACAATGACACAGAGAGAGAGACAGAGAAAGAGAGAGAAAGAGAAAGAAAGAGAGAGAAAACCGTATTTTCAAATAATCCAAGCAGCTGCTCTCACAATAAACGACATACTAATTTCTAGGCTGCCGTCATAAGATGCTAGGGCTATGTTCCAAAATTTGCTGCCAGTGCTGAAAAATATACAGTATACGTGACGTAAACTGTAGATTTTCAGCGCTGGCAGTGAATTTTAGAGCATAGCTAGATAGCAGATACTTGCAGCATACTGCAACAGCACAAAAAGAGTTGGCATACGAAAAACTTAAGGCAGTAAAGCGGGGAGCATAGATACTTGCATAACGCATAACACATAAAACATAAGAAATACAACCAATCAGAATTCTTTATTTCATAGAAAGGAAGAAAACAAAAAACTTTTATTGGTACATTTTCTTATGCATTTATTACGTATTATGCGTAATGCAAGAATCTGTGCTTCCCGCTTATAATCATTCTACAATAAGCCATTAGTCATAAATCAGAAATTAAAAGTTGGACATTGACGACTGTGATTGATCAATTTTCATCTTTTAATTTTTAATTTATAATTAATAGCTTATTGTAGAATGCGTACTATGAATGAATGCTTCTACAATAAGCCGTTAGTCATAAATCAGAAGTTAGAAGCTAAAAATTAACTAATCACAGTCGTCAGTTTTTAACTTCTGACTTCTGATTTATGACTAAGGGTGAAATCACAATATGGGAATCAACATGACAGAGAATGCGTGATTCGAACAGTCAATCGGAAAGACATGGGATAGAAAAATGTGGAAGAGTGCTGATTGGCTGTTCGAATCACGCATCCTCTGTCCCACATGCTGATTCCCGTATCGTGTAATTTCATCCTAATGCTAGGCTTATGGTAGAATGCCATTAAATGTACGTACGTAACGTGTGAATTTCAAATTTTATTGTAGTGAATACAATTTCAATCTCTGCAATTGATGGTTGGAATGAACATACTTCTGGTCACTGGACACATGGGCTTGTGTCATCTTTAACTTTTCAAAGTTTTTGCAGAGTTCAACTTGTGTATTTAATTTCATTACAAATGTGAAAATCAGAGATATCTTGTTACTGTGATTTTTAATTCCCGTGTATGGAAAAAAGTTACTATTATGGTATAGCGTGGCAGGGTATTTCGCTGCAGATGCTTAAGATCCTTATTAGATGTAGATGCGCTTCTTCTCAAATTAATACTCAAAGATTTTTCCTTTTATCTGATTAATTTACTCAGTAAATGTAACTATTAACTTTTGATCTAGTTTACATTGTTCACTCTAGCCTAGCGGCAAGCTGTCATAGAGATTGCAATTGAAATTGCGTTCTGT